TTTTGCAAATAATACTGCCAGCAAGGGACCAGGTCAAAAACCTGAGCCATTAATGATCCATTTCTTAGAACTCACACCATGGTGTGCCTCCCTTCAGTGTCATCCTTACCTCACTCCCAACCTGTCATCTCCTGAGCCTGAAGCCAGAAGTTAGGTCCCTAGCACTGCAGGTGGTGTGTCTAAGACACCCTGCACCTACCTGTAGGTCAGTGCAGTCACACGCATCCATGGTCCTGGGCTGGGAGATGTGGTGGCAGGCAGACCAGACATGCACAGTCCTGATGTAGAAATAGTTATGACCTGAGCCAAGTGTGTAGAGTGCTGTTAACAGATATGACAGGGTGGATGACTGAGATCAGAGGGTCAGGGATGGCCTCCGTGAAGAAGTGACCCTTGTACCGAATTCTGATAGACAAACAGAAATTAGAGAACACGGGCAGAAACCTTTTAAGGCTGAGAAAATGCCTGCCTCAAAGCCCAAGGGCAGAAAATTGGGTGTGTAGTAAGTGGTGGTGGTTAGACAGCTAGGAAGCCAGGGTGGCTGGAAAATGGGAAAGGGGCCCAAGAGGGAGCTGGGTTGGGTATTTTATTAAGTGGTGGAAACTGCAGAGGAATTTTAAACAGAGCAGAGGCATGATCATATTTGCCGTGATAACACAATATCCACTCATTAGCTTGGTGCTAGGGGCACAATGGTGAGCCCGAATCACCACTCCCAGTGGAGAAAGGGGTTGGTGGAAAGGATCAGTCAGGCCTTGCTGGAGTCCAGGCAAGAAAGAGCACATGGTGCAGCAGTGGGGCTGGGGGAAGTGGGCGGATTCAAAAATAGAATTTGAGGTGAAAACTGGTGTAACTTGGTGATGGGGTGGAGGCAGGGGTGGTGGGAAGAGTTCTGTCAATAGTGAATCCCACTTTTCTTGGCTATAACATGAATGAATCATAACAAATTTGAGGGCCTCAGCCTTTCCCTCTCCCGGCGACCTTATCCCCATTTATACTGGTTTTTATTCAAGTACCTTCCCCAGCGGTGGAAGCAGGACAATTGTGGAAGCAGGACAATTGCGGAAGCAGGACAATTGCATAGGCTCCAAGATGATCCGAGGGCCTCTGAGAGGCTGCCAAGCTTAAAACTACAGACAGGCTCAGGATCAGTGTAAATGCTTTTCTGTATTTTTGTTGTGAGAATGCTTTGCTCATCAAACACTAAGATTATGGAAAAAACTTGTCCACAAGCCACTTAATCATACTAGAATTATCTGAGATGAATTTTAAAAATGTATTGTTTTTAATTCCGTTATAGCCTGAGGGATCTTCTGATTAACTTTTCATCTAATAAGGATAAACTATATAAATAAGCTAAAAAAATTAAAAAGATCCAAACTATTCTTTTGGAAAATCTTCAAATCCATATTTAAAAGAATCTAATATTATGGATATTAAGAATTCAAAATAATAAGTCCGTGCTCTAAAACCAAGGAAGTCCCCTGACCTGCTGCTGCTCACATTTTCCCCTTCTACATGGATTTGGTACGTTTCACTTAAAAAAAAAAAAAAGGCAAGCCGTCTTGTGAATGTTACCTAAATGTGTTCAAGTTCCTCCTACATTTGTATTCAAAATGTGACTGAATGAGCTTGAAATTTTAATGTATTGATTGATTTTAGATAGTGAGGGAGAGGAGAGAGACATAGACTTATTTTTTCACTTATTTGTGCATTCATTGGCTGAGTCTCGTCCATGTCCTGACCGGGGATCAAAGCCGCACCTTGGTGTGGCTGGAAGACGCTCTAACCAACCAGCTACCTTGTCAGGGGTGAATGAGCTTCAATTTAAATGCTTTCCTAATGTAAGTTTTAAAAGTGAGAATGATTATACTTTATATAAATGTAAACATATTCCAGTCAGCAAGTGTTTGTTGCTTAATTACATGTAAAGAATATGAAAGCAAGATAAACTACCACAGTGACATTCCAGCTTCTTTGAGGGGTCACTCTTCCATACGTGCTGTTTACAGAAAGAAGGCAGGGGAGATTTTTAAAGAGGTTATTCCTGCAAGCCTATTTACAAAATTAAGACAGTTTTCTTTCAGTTTTTAAAAGCCTAGGCTTATTTTGGTTTGGAAACTGAGAATGAAAATTTATCTCCATACTTACAAATTAGAATAGCAAAAATAAAAATCTGCCCTAAATGTAAAATATCCTCGGAAGATGGATAAAACAGCTCCCTTACAAAGAGGTTCAAGTTAGTTAAGATACTTTCACTGTAGTGAACTTTCATCTAATTGATAAATTTCAATTAAGCTTTAAATCAATGGTAAAATACTAACATTAATACAGTAGTTATTGTGTTGTGGGAGAAAGACAATATAACTTTTACTGTTATTTTACATACAAAATTTATGGTTACATGCTGAAATTTCAGATACAGACCCTCAATTTTAGTCAGTAAGGTTCTATTACATTAAGTGGATCACATGTAAAGAGAAATCCGGCAGGAAGTTTTAGACCAGTGAAGGTGAGCCCATCTGTGCAAGCACCGGAGGCGGGTATCTCGCAGCCCTGTGCCCCAGTTCTGGCCCTGCCACTTACTGTGTGCCCTTGGGCAATAGACCTCATCTGTTTGGGCTTCAGTGTTCTCATGTGTAAAACAGTGACAATATTACTTACCTCGTAGGAATGTCATGTGGGTTAAGTAAATAAGATGTGCTTCAAATAGGTTAGAGTGTCCCAGACACTGCTTCCCAACACACTCCAGATGCAAGTTATGGTCTGAATGGTGCCCCATAAATTAGTGATGCCCCAACCCTCAGTACCTTAGAATGTGAGTGTATTTGGAGACAGGGCCTTTAAAGAAGTAATTAAGTTTAAATGTGGTCCTTGGGGTGGGCCTTAATCCATTATGACTGGTGTCCTTATGAGATTAAGACAAACACAGACAGAGAAGACCATGTGAAGACACAGGGAGGAGCGATGGCCAGGATGCCTCAGAATAAGGTAATCCTGCCAACACCTTGATCTAGGACTTTTAGCCTCCAGAATTGTGAGAAATAACTTTGTTTTTTAAATCACTGTGTAGTATTCGTTATGGTTGCCCTAGCAAACCAACATGCCAGTCAAGGCCAGGGATGATGGGAGTCCTCTAACTGCAGGGTGCTGTATGAAGCCCACTTTTTGTGCACCGTGACATGGGAGAAATTTGAGAAACATTAAGGTAACATTTAGACCTAATGCAACTGGCTTTGCTTCTGGCCTATAGTAAAGACTCAATATGCAGCAGAAATTATTCTTCCAATTTATGAAGATCTTGATGCAAGCATCTAAAATGACAGTCTCTTATTCCTCAGCATTATTTAACTGGTTGCTCCCAAAACTTGTAAGAACCAACTGTAGAAAATAGAGGTAGAAAAAGGCGTTTCAAGAAACACAGGCAAGCACGAGGATAACATTTTGATGGCAAGAGCTCCAGTCTTCCCAAGGACAGACCTCTACTGAGAGAAAACCAGATTGACTTTTGAGAGTGACAAGGTCATTTCAGTAGTCCAAAAGCACGATATTCTACAATTTCCTAAGAGGTACAATTTGTATTTCTGCACTTAAAGACAATTAAAAAATTAGTAAAAATGAGTTGTGAAATGCTGAGCCAGCCAACTTCCCAAAGATACAGCAGAAACGTCGTTAATGTACATGACATTTCCTTTGGGTACAGTCACTGAACTTTAAAATTCTGGACTTCAAAGGAGCAGAATGTATATTGAGACACGAAGGATAGGTTTATACAGCTATCATTTCTCATTTCCCTTTCACAGCTGGTCAAATAACCCAGAACTCTTCCAGAAGATATCTTTATGGCTGATACTGGTTCTCAAACTAGAAACAGGTAGGCCTGTGCTGAACAATGGAGCTACTAGCCACATTTGGCTATCAAGAACTCACAACGTAGCCCAGGCTGGTGTAGCTCAGTGGATTGAGCGCAACTTGCGAACCAAAAGGTTGCCAGTTCGATTCCCAGTCAGAGCACATGCTTGGGTTGCAGGCCATGTCCCCCACTTGGGGGTGCGTGTGTGTGTGCGTGTGCATGCATGTGAGAGAGGCAACCACATACTGATGCTTCTCTCTCTCCCTCCCTTCCCCCTTCTCCAAAAGTAAATAAAATTTTAAAAAAATGCACAATGTCACTAATATGACCATAGAACTGGGTTTGAATTTTAATTAATTTTAATATATTTTAAAAACCAACACTCATTTCAGTTATTGAAAAAAAAGGTATGTCTGCAACTACCTGTATAGTTTCAACTGTAAGTTGCATGAACTCTAAATACAGATCAAGCATGTTCAATAAACATTAGCATCCAGTGTCAGTAGTATATAATACATATTTTGATGATTTAATATGCAAAAAATGATGTAAAATATCTTAATACATTTTTATATTGATTACATACTGAAATGGTACTATTTCCCAAATGTTGGATTAAATAAACTGTTTTATTGAACTTTATTTCATTCCCTCTTTAATTATGGCTGCTAGAAATTTAAAATTACACACGGGTTCACATTAGACTTCTCTTAGCACAGAGGTAGACTGTCGTAAAGCTAGACGTGACGTACAGTCATGTGACTGACCACATTCCTGAATAATTATCCTATCTAGAGTGAGTAGTTAAAAATTCATGTATTGGGTTAGCCAAAAAGCCTGTTTAGTTTTTTCCATGAAAGATAAGACACATTCTTCATTTTCACCAATAATTTTATTGGTTTGGACATTTTGAGATGTCAGCTATCTCCCACTATTGGCTTCTAGTGGGTAGAAGCCAGGGGTGCTGCTAAACATCTAATGTGTAAGACTGCCCCACAGCAAAGAATTATTCGGCCAAAATATCAGTAGTATCAAGAAACTTTGCAAATCACTTTTCACACATTTGATCAGTCACAGCACCTTCTCCACACACTGCATAATCTTTTTTTGCATTTCAGTTGCATTTTTACCTTTCTTTAAATAATAAAGCATAAGCTGAAAATGTTGCATATTTTCTAACATCTTCAATATTAAAACAGCCATACAAAAATTTACCAGTTTTGGTTATTTTTTTAAAATGCACATTGATATGACAACTGTCACAATACAATCGAACAAAACTGCTTTCAATGAGGTTAAGAACTAAGTACTACTAGAGCCATCTATGGAAAAAACGAACTTTTTGGCCAACCCAATAGTGGAATACTATTTATATCCAGGAGAAAATGTGGGCCAGTAGGCTTTGAAAAGCTTTGCATTTTAAGAATAAGGTTTAAGTAAATAGTTTAAATGACTAAGGCAAGAACCTGAAATAATATTTAAGGCATAACTGTATTTGCAAAAATCACACTTTTGCTCTAGTCAGGTCTTATTTAACATTACTTTGGTTGATACATCTAAGATAAATCATTTTGGAAATTTTGTGAATTATATACAAAATATATTTTGACAAATATGTTAGAAAACTGGTTTCTTTCATCTCTCAAACCTGAACCATTATGTGTTACTTTAAATTCCAAACTCAATGTGATTCTGGTGGAAATCAAAGATGTCTAAAACAAGAAAAAAGTAACTGATGTGATGATGCTGTTAATTTTAGGACAGATAAGCCCTACTCTCCACTGGCATTGTTAATTTACATGTAGCAGTGCCTACCATCTTTTCTGAAAAATTCTCTACTAGTTTTCTTGAGAGAAAGCAGTTAAAGTATTTAATAAAATAAAATATGCTGGGCTCGAAAACCTAAACAAAACATTTAATCTTTGACAGTTATCTAAAATCGTATGGTAATAATAGACACATGCTGGCTACTAATTCTCTGAGGCTCAAAGATTTTAAGATAATGAGAAAACATTTACTTTGAAAAATAGTGTGTCCATTTTGTAGGATTTATAAAAGCAGCTTACAGGTTCCTATCTCCAGAAAGTTATCAGACATAATACACAGATCACCATCTTTGGAGGTCAATTAGAATTCAGCAGAGTATATTTAACACAAATTACACCGATTAGATTTTTATTGCGGGCAATTAAGAAAGCTTGAACTTTATCGTGAAGATCAAACATCACTGCAGGTCTGAGTCTGACTCATGGAGGCAAGCGTGCTGCCTATGAGAAATGAGGAAGTGGAACTAGCCACTCTACCCGATTCAACGTATGACTTCCTTTGTCTGAAAAACTAAAAACTATAACTGAGAAGGTCAACAAGATTATAACCTGTGGCTTTGAACATTTAGTTCTTACGAAAAAGTCCAAATCAATAATACCCCACATAAAGACAGTGAAATGCTAAATCTTTATCAGTACTATGTATGGGACATGATACACGCATCTTGCATCTTGCTGCCTGGATGGAAAACATTATGACTATCAGCTAGGTATCACATCTCTGTAAGGATCTGTAAGTGAGCATGTCAGGAAGCCTGACTTCAAGCACACAATTCATTTACAGCTGGCTTGTGGAGAAGGGACCGGTAGAACATTCAAACATGTTTCCAGATCAGCTCTGCTCCTGGCTCAGCGGTGTGGGCTGGGGCACATGGTGGCTGGGTGGAGGTGGAGCAGACTCCTGCGTCAGCTGCAGGTGCTGAGCCGGATGTGCAGCACTTGTTAAATGGAGCTCGCCTGTTTGCTCTTGATGGGCGTGCAGATGCTCCAGGGTTTCCTTGGAGAGGGCGATCACGTGCACAGGCTCGCTCTGCGAGGGTTCCATCTGGCTCTCGATCACATTGAGGCTCTGAATGTGTTCTGTTTGCTCTTGTTGAGCTGAAAGAATTAAATTCTGCAGTTGTTCTGGCTGTTGGGTGAGCAGCGTGAGATTAGCAGCCTGGTCTGCAGTCATGTTCTGGGAGCTCTCTGCAGCAACGATGCTGATTCCTTGGCTAGGACCAGGCATGAAATTGATGTTATGTACAGAGTCGGTCACCAGAAGCTGGATTTCCTGCTCTCCGGAGGTAGAGAGTTGATACGGCTGCAGCTGAAGAATATTCCTGACCTCTTCAGTATTATTGTTGCTGGAAACATTGCCGGCATCTGCCGCATGTTTCTCTTTGCTATGGATTTTCAAGTGAGCCTTCAAGTTGTCTAAGCGAGCAAACTGTAAGTTACACTCAGGGCAGGAGAAAGGCTTTTTGCCGGTGTGTAGAATACAGTGTCTCCTCTTGGCACTGGAGTCAGAGAAGGATTTGCCACATATGCCACAGGAGTATGGCTTTTCTCCTCTAAAAGGAAACATGTTTTATATTAAAAACCAAAAGGTCTATGTGTTACTTCCTGATATACAGGGAGAGGCAGTCAAGGACAGAGGAAAGCTAGACTGAGTCAGAGTCATGGGTTCACCTACTAACTTCAGGACGTGGACCAAGTCACAGCTTCCACGGGTTTCAGTTTCTAATTTTTTTTAAAAAGGTGTGGGGGTGGTCCCTCAGGAAGGGCGGTCGATGGGGTTGGGTTGATAAAAATTTATGATCCCACCGTATCTATTTCAGATAAGAAAGTATTTATATGTTACATATATAGTTCCTTTTCATATTCTAGTTTTCACAGCCAGTTTTTTAATTCTAATGGCCAAGTAAGTACATACAACTAGTTTCATCCTTAAAATAAGGAGCCCCGTTATCTGGGATGCTTTTAGAGGACCTACTAAATCCAATCTGGAAGTAGGTTTTGTGAACAAAAACATTCATTCAGGAAACATTTAATACTTATTTTGATTGAAGATTTAAACAGGACCAGCCCCCTGACAAAATAAAAATTTGAGAAATAAAATCAATAATGCAAACTTTTGCTGGCTAGCATCAGTTTTTCTGATTTTGCCTAACTGAGGAATTTTTTTATTGAACATATTTTTTAAAATTATAAAAGTAGAAAATTCTATCAGTAATAATTTGGGGGAAAGGACTATGCAGGTAACATATGTCGCCCGACTGAACACCAGAGTGGAATGAGGACTCCACATGGGAGACACATGTGCATGACATTACCGATGGATTCTGATGTGGGTCTGAAGAGAACTCTTTGCTGTGAAAGATTTGCCACAGATTTCACATGTAAATGGTTTCTCACCTAAAAAAGGGAAAGCATTTAGAATTACACATTCAACCTAAAGCAAAAATCACCTCATAATTTCACAATAGAAACATAAAAAGAATTAAGGCAATACCACTTGAATCCTCAATAAGCACAAATGCATTAAGCACTTACCAAGCACCTACTATGTGCTAAGTGCCAAGGGGATGCAGAGAAAGGGTAGGTATGGTTCTTTCCCTTAATCTTAGAAACTGAAACGAGGTAAGCGATTATCCGTTGGAAATAAAGGAACGCACCACATCCACCCCTGTAGCCTCCGCCCTTGGATAACTTACACTCTCACGCCTTGCTGCTTGGTAAGGCAGCCTCTTGACCTTCGTAAGGACACTTGTGCACTAGGGTGACTTTTGTATTATTTGCATTTATATCTACCTTCCACGTGTATGCCAGCATGAGTCACTCACCTAAAGCCTCTTATCAAATGTCACTTTACCAAGAGGCTTGTCACCGTTAAAGCACTACCCACCCCCAACACTCCTAGTCCACTTCCCTGAGATAGTTTTCCAATAATACTATCATGTTGTTTATTATCTATTCCCTCCCATTCTTACATGGGGTAATTCATAGGCATGTTCACTCCTAGCACATCACTCTCGAAATTCTTGTTGAATGAATTCATTTCACAGGAAGGGGATTAAGGCTCACGTAAGATGTGACTGCTCCAGACCCTGCTAGGAGTTAAAGCTTCGACAGTGTTTATTCAGCACTAGTTTGTACACTGACATACAGTGACAGACTGTCATATGCCCCAGGAAAAAAATTAATGCAGGCAAGGGCACTGTAAGTTAAAAAAGGAAAAGAAAGAAGTAAAATTCAACTTAACTAGATAATGGCAAGGGAGGAGTAAAATCTGAAGTGGAGGATGGTCAGGCGGCTGCCCTTTCACCAGTGACTAGAAGTCCCCTGTAGAGAGGACACTTGTGACAACTTGGATGAGTCTGCATCTTTGCATAACTCTTACCACTCCGAAGGTTAAAACCGGGCCACTGCCAGGGTGGCTTGGTTGATGGGAGCATTGTCCCACACACCAAAAGGTTACAGGTTCAATCTCCGGTCAGGGCACCAACCTAGGTTGTGGGTTCGATCCCTGGTCGGGGTGCTATGGGAGGCAACTAATTGATGTTTGTTTCTCTCTCCCTCCCTCTCCCTTTAAAATCAATAAATATATCCTTGTGTGAGAATTAAAAAAAAAAACACGCTATCGCTACTATCTAACTTTTCATAGCCTTCCAAATCAGACCTGGTACCTGCTCTGCTCTCGGTTCCTTTCCTCCACGTTCAAAGACCGAGGACCTGCTCTGTGTGCTCGTCATTCAACTCCATCCAGACTTACAACATCTCACAAAGTCTTTCTGTTGGCAACTGTTGAAAATAATGGAAGTTCTTTCCAGGAACACCCTTCAGGTGCGCTCTTTGAGGGAGTGAGCAGGACAGTAAGAAGACAAGTTTTCCTAGCCAAGGTGAATCTGAGGAAAGTTTTCCTACTCTTCTGGTTTATGATTTGTAACACAGCCACACAGCTCCACTGCCTTCAGGTGAGTGGCCTATTATTCCTTGATTGGGTTTATTCAGTTCTAAGCAATGGCAGACCACCAAACAGAAAGAAAAAAGACACGAGCACTGCTTCAAAGACAATATGCAGTCTATCTGAGAAGATAAGAGACAAGCAGTCATCAAGTGACATGGGCTGTGTGGGGCCGAACATTCGAATGAGCAGTATCGATAATACTGAGCGCAGACATGATGAAGGGTGCTGAGGAGGATCTGGCTGGAGTGGGAAGGAGCCCGGGGACTAGTTCAGGGACTAGGATGAACAGCAAGACCCAAAGGCAGTGCTGACGACGACCACGCGGTGTGGACGAGGAAGGACGAGGACTCACTCTGAGGCACGGTAGAGCTAAAAGGTGAAGCCAGGCCACAAAGAGCCAGACGTTCTTGGCAAAGGACCTGCTGGAGGTTTTTAGCAGAACAACAACATGACAAAGCACTGAGAAAAAACCCATGGGATTCATGGGAAGGGTGGGCCGGAGGCAGTAGCACCTTTGCAGGAATTCCTGTACAGTCTAGACACGAAGTGCTGAGGCCTGGAGCAGGAAGGGCAGGAGGCAGATGGAGAGTAAGAAAAAATGGTGAAGTGATGAGCCTTGGGTGGCAGTGGGGCTGGAAGGACATTGGATGTAGGATTAGATAACAGTGATGGAAGGACTGAGCAGAGAAGGGAGTGTGATGCTCACGAATCCACCCGGACGGAGGCCCACAGAGATATTTCAGGGTTTCCTTCTGGGAGGACCTCTTCTCAGCAGAATCCTCCACTGACCCCACCCCACCCCACCCCTGATGACATGTACTCCCAACCCCACCCCAGTCAGTACCAACTTCCCAGGGCTCTTTGGGTGTCACAGCTTACTTCCCACCCACCATTGGTTCTAACCTGGAATACCGTTTCTGGGTAACAGCAGTGCCAGCCAGGCCCAACAGTCAATCACATGACATCTCCAGTTCACTGCGTTCACGCCCAACTGGCAATCCAGTGCCATACATTCTAACTCCGAAAGAAAATGTCTTTGTTTTTCTTTATTGATCACCCACATTCAGTGTAAAAAAGATTCAAATAATATTGAAAAGGAAAAGCATGTAGCCTTTCCCATAATAGGAGTTATCACCAGAAATAACTTTTTATGTCCCATCTAGAGGGTGGGACTTCTAGTTATTGAACATCTGCTCTTCTTACTGCCCTGCACATGCCCCTCCTCCCCTCTGGAGCCCCAAGGCTCTTCCCACATCCCCAGCTCAGAATGTCATTATTACCTCATTTTCCCCTTCTGTCTCTGACTCTCTCAAGTTATGTGGGGACCCTACAGGTATGAATGTAACTAACTTGGTCATCATCCAGTGTAAATCTGTCTCATGCCTATTCGACTGTTAGATCAGCCAAAAGAACCTGGACTGGTAGAGGAGAATTTCTTTCCCCATAGTGGGTGCTGTGGGCAGGACACCTCACTGGCTGTGCACTGTTCACACCGAAGCTGCTGCAGTAGGAAGATCCTTGGACCCCAGCACGAGCCAGCAAAAGGCAGATTCCTGCCACGTTAGACTCCTGGATCTCTACCTGCAGAGTGGTGAGAGTCCTCTTCTTCCTTTTCTAATGCTAGCAGAAAACATGTATGGAACTAGACCCTTGGGCTCAGTGACTGACTCTTGGTTATTTGGTATGGCACTCTTGGCTTTTACTGATCCTTTCCTCCAAAACATGGTCACTGTTTAGTCTGTTATGTCATGTCTCGTTCCATGTTTTCAGAGCTTGGTTCTGACCTCCTCTTTGGTCCTGGTCATCCGGAAGACACATTTACTGGCATGCATTTGGCAGCCAAATAGCCTGGAGAGTCCTGGCAGCTGTATCTCTTATGTCTCTTTGTCCAATCTTGCCAGCTCTCGGGAATTTCATGAGGGGTCCAACTCCATAAGGGACATTAGTCATCTTCATCTTTGTAGCTTGACTGCCAAATGGCTTCTTACTTAGAATACTCTGGGAGTGAACTTTCTGGATCTTGTGAGGGCTGAGTTTTTTACACTCCCATGTGGCCCTTGGATAAGCCATAAAAAGGCTTACTGGTTTGAGTCACTATTAAAATCCTTCTTGTTAAAGCAAGAGGGTGGACTCTTTCAAGTGGAAAAACATCTAAATTACAAAAATTTTAGAGAGCTTTATCATAACAGCTATTTCATTGGTATCTATAGAAAGACCAAATTTTAAAAGTGAATACAAAGAACTGTAACACCTAGCCTTAAGAACTCTTTTAATGGAGCTCCTACCCTTCATGAGAACACAGGTGGCTCTGGAGAGCATTATGCTAAGTGAAGTAAGCCAAGCAGTGAAAGACAAATACCATATGATCTCACCTATAAGTGGAAACTAAACAACAAAACAAATAAGCAAAATAGAACCAGAGACATGGAATAAAGAACAAGCTGACAGTGACCAGAGGGGAGGGGGAAGAGGATAATGGGGAGGAATGAACATCTATATATGTTCATGTATGCTGAGTAGCATTTTCTATCTCCACATTGTATTGCTAATTTGTAAAAGAGCTCTATTTAATTGGCTTAAACAAGTAAGTGCTTATATTAAAAATTCTCAAAATGTAATAAAAATTAACCCAAATGCATCTTAGGATCATATGATGTGAGAAAATAGTTGATATAAAAGGTGGTTTGAGTTTTGTTCAAACTGGTATGTCTTTAGTTATCAGAATTAAATATAAAACTTTTATTTTACCTGGTTTATTAAAAAAAAGTTCATGTTATCTCTGTAACAAAATCTGTCACTGGGAAACATAGCTTGAGATAATTGACTTTGATGTCTTATAGTTTCCATGGATAATCAAAACATAATTTGTAAGGACTAATTAATAAATAAATGAAAGTAAAATAAGGCTTAAGTGACACTTTATCAGTAATTACATGTATTATACTTGTATGTACTTAAAAATAATTTCTCCAAATCCTCTGGTAATTTAAAACCTTAGAGTTTTACCAAGTTAAATAATGAAAATTTATTGAATATCTCGATCATTTCCAAGTAACATAAAATACTGAATCATTAATTGTTAAATAAGTCTATTTACTTTTGACTTCTTGTAACAGAAAAGTTAAAAGATAAATTTGGATCTGTTAATTGTTTTGCTTTGTTGAGGAAGCATATGTTTCTAAATATTATGAAATATATTTGCCAGTAAAAGTATCTACGTTTCTAAAAGTAATGAAATATAGTCATAAATTTGCCAATCTAAAGAATGCTAATTGATTACTTTTTAGCTGTCATTAAAAATTAAGGTTTCTGGTGGTTAAGGATTCTTTTTCTCAATTACAGTTTACACTCAACATTATTTTGTATTAATTTCAAGAGTATAGTCTGGCTGGTGTAGCTCAGTGGATTGAGCACGGACTGCAAACCAAAGGATCACTGGTTCGAAAGG